GTACATCGCGACGTAGGAAGGTTCTTGAACCGTGGCTAATTGTTGTGGGAACTACGGTACTCCGCAATGTTTCCGGGTGGAAAGAGACGCGGAGGTCGCGCTGTTTCACGCGACACCATTCATTTGCACTTTCTTGCTGAAGGAGATATTAATCCTGTGCCTCGGCACGCCGGCTAGCCGTCATAGGCACGGATCATTATGATCGTTTTATTACGCGGCGTGGGATCGTTTCCTCCTCCGTGGAGATCGGTATCTCTGGCAAATGATCGCGCGTTTATCGCGGCAGGATATCGCTCGCCGGCGAAATGCAGTCTACGATCTCAGAATGCAAGCCGCTGCGAGAGTGGAACGATTGAAATTATCTCGCGCGATAAGAATCACGCGATACACCGGTTGGCACCGCCAGTGCATGAACGTCGTAGACGTTCGCTCTGTAGAGTAACTGCATGTGACTTAGTGATTAGCATGATTGACTACGTCGCTAAAGTTAAATGATTAAATTAAGACTCTCTGTTGCATTTCAACAAGATGTTGCATCTCAATTTTAGACATGACGTATCGCTCGGTACTGGATCAAAGCCAACTTCCGTAATTTATCAGGCAACTCATACATAACTCTGTGCCGTACGATAGGAAGAAAATTTGTATCGTTCGTACGGCAAGTTGGAAGCAAAAATAATCGATAAATACAGTAGACTGTGCAGAATCTTGTGCCTAATGATCTCACTGGAGAATCGCAAATGTCTTTAAATAGAATGAAGAAGTAACAATTAGATAGCGTGAAACGTACTGAGAACAGAATAATAAAAGATAACGAAATATCGAGAAAAGCGAATACTTATAAATATCGAGACCTATTGAAAATCGATAGTTAATAGTCATTAAAAAAAAACGTAGGATGAAGATTCTGCCATGTCGCGAAGGTAGACCTTGCCGCGCGATATTTCACAGGCATTCGTTCGGTTGATGTGATTGCAGATGATTCTCAAAGTGCATTCTTCGCGCGTCTCGATCGCGAAGCACCGTGCGACTATAAATACTCGATCTGCGATTCTAATCTGGTCGAATCGACGACGGAAATTGGCCAGATCCGCGTATTCCATGAAAGAGAACAAAATGCGTAAACCGATAGCGCTTACCTGGCGAATGTGAACCAAATGCGTGTGGCATGGTACATACGTAGTGGCCGGCTGGTTGGCGCCACACCGGCCGAGGCATATCGAGAAGTAACGCGTAATAAACGTAATATTATACACGGCGATACGCCGGGCGCATTTACGGCGCGCCACAACGATGAATTATATTCCACTCTGCGTGCGTAATCACACAATGAGAGCCGGCCGCGTCGCGAAAAATCAACGAGATTCGACGCGATCGCGATAGCACCGCCAGAATGGAAATGGCAATTATTTAACCCGCATCGAAGTGCGCTCCACGATCGATCCAACAACCTCCGGCGAATTAACGCACGGTGCACTCGTTGCCTTGTTGCATGGAATACGCGAAGGTCGATATGTCAGTGTGTCACGGCGGGCATTTGAGAATTTATCTCAACATATCGCCACGCGAGAAAGTTATCTTGAAACTTAATTATGAAAAAGAAGCTTACTTTTTTTTTTACTAAAGTTTAACAGTGAAAATCGGTGTAAAAGAATTGTGTTATTTGTAATAAAATCTAGAGTTTTAGTCAAAGATTAAATTGAAGAAATATTAAATAATTAAAAAAAAAAACGTTTATTTCAAGATTATTTCTAGGAATATGTCACATGTTTGCGCTTGTGCTTCATCCGTTGGCAGCTAAACAATTTTCTCGTACTGTGTCTCGTGCGACACGAAATATTCAACGACAACACGTTATTTCGGATGCTGGGTCTGCTAGAACCGTTGCCAGGAAAATAGTCACCCACGACTCACGTGGGAGAATCGATCGTTAACTCGTTGTGAGCAGAGAGGTACATATGTACTTAGGAGTAGGACTAGCTTGTAGAGGCAGTCTCGAACGTGCGCTCTTATATTTTCCTACGTCCCGTTTATTGAAATTGCTTTCCCAGAAGCGGGCTAAACTTAGGCGCCAATCGACAGCGTCATCAACGGCACAATTCAATTTCAGCTTATCACAGGCTCCGGCGAAGTAATTGCAGAGAGTGTGGAGATCGTAATTTTCGCAAAGAGCATTCCGAAACGCGAGGCTGGTTATTACACGTACGACGATTTTAATCCGTCGAGGAAAAGATTTAATACTTACAGCGCCTGCGATAATCATTAATGATTCGTCGGTGTCAGAAATTGTTTCTCGCAAATAGAAAATTTGCAATGACGTATCATATTATTTCCTTCGTGTTTTCTTGTTATTTTGCGTATTGACTGATAACTTTTAATTGTTTTTTATTAGTATCAATTACTAGAAAATGATTCTTGTAGCATTCAACAGTGAGAGAGCTATAAACACACGCGCCAAGATGTTGTATCAATCGTCATTCGTACGACGAATATACGTATCGTCGCAAATTGTAATTGCAGATGACGTCATTATTTATGGATCGCACGGAAAGATACGGCGCAGATATCAAAGCTAATCTTAAATTAAACGACGAAAATTTTATTAAAGAACATCGTCACACCCGAAATATATCATCTTTTTTGCACATTTCTTCCTTAAATATCCTATCAGACAATCTATTTTATAAATTGGAATTATATAGTTGCATCAAATATTTTTCCAATTATTTGCATAACCGTAATTAACATCTTAAAAATATTGTATTTGTCGATATCATTGTTAAAAGTCATTGTTTTTAATAATTTTATTACCATAAATTAAATTTTTAAATGTTTTATTTATATAATCTATTGAGAAATCACTATAATATTTGTCTTATGTAGTCTCCTATGTCTACTATGTGGATTCTCTACAGGGTATTATTAATCGTACAGAAGTCCCGGTTCAACCCTTTATGGATCGACATTCATAAGATCGACTCGTTTGACCACACACATTCAGACGTTCTATTTATTCAACCTGGGTACCGAGTTGTATTTCCTCCAATCATTTGATCCGTATATCTATTTTATTTCTATTATATTTTCCAAAATTTGACAAATCTTTATGAGAATTGATTGATTTTTGAATTTAATAAAAATAGATTTCTGTCAATATATTATAAATGTTTATAGAAATAAAAATGGAAAGAAAGATATTAGATATTACACAAACAATATAATCCTATAATTGCTAATAATATTTTATATTTTAAATGTGTATAAACATAATCGTTAAATAATTAAATTAATTAAAATGTTTAATTAAATAAAGATTACATCTTATTTCGATCTCGTGTCTTTAATATTTCTGTGCACATCTTATAAAATATAGAATAACTGAATGCATTTCCGCGTATTTTTTAAACAATGTTATATTCTTCTTTGAAACTTTTATTTTACGTTTAGTCGGATATTCGAATTTTCGCAAACATTTGTTCGCAGGGAGAGACGTGAAATTCTAGTTCATATATCTCAATCCCTTCTATAATCTGATTACGAATTTCGACTTGTTCAATCATACAAATCGAATTTCGACCCAAACAGCTCTCTATTCCTTTGCTATTCGTGATGCATTCGTCCGGAAGTTGCATAGAAACGATCGTATTGTGAAACGTACTTGCATCGCGATGGAAATCCAACAATTCGATGTACAAATTACCTTTCTCCGGTGAACCTTTCTTGTGACTTCTCCGATCGTAAACTTTCCGCGCACTTTCTTCCTGTTCCCGCTGTCTTTTTCCACGCTCGTGATCTCACAAATCAACAAGCATAATAATTACAAATTGAAGCCGCGGGACCAATCGATAGCG